AATGGGAAAAAATAAATTTTAAAGTCCAAAGTGGAAAAGTGACCAAACATAAAAGGGCAAAGTGTAATTTACCCATAAATTTACATGGTATATTATACTTTGCCCTTGGTAAATTACACTTTGCCCCTTTTATGTTTGGTCATTTTTTCACCTTGATTTTATTTTATTTTATTTTTTTCTACTTTGGCCATTTTTTTTTATATTCAAAATTTATTTTTACTCCTCTTTAAAGAAAATTTCTGAAATATTTAAATTTTGAATACTGCTGTTTGGTGCATAATATTTTTGGAAAAACCAGCTCATCTTTTTTTGTTTTTTTTTGGAACCACTTTGCCTGGTTTGTGTAATTTGACTTTGATAAAATGTGACCAGATTGCATTTATTAAAGTTTTTATATTTAAACATTGTTGGATATATATTTTTTTTTTTTTACAATTAATCACATTTAATGATTTATAATTTTAAATAAGACTTTTAATAAAAATGTTAATGTCTATCAAATTATTCATATCTTTTTAATAAGCAAATAGAAGATTTGTATAGAATTCTCATACAGAATTAGTTGACATCGTGTAATCCCTTTATTTTCAATCAAAATATCCATTGTTGTCTTTTGCAATTTCACAAATATCATTAACACATTATTCTGAATATTCTTTTTGTATAAATTTTACGTTTGCAAATCGTTTTCCTTTATTCACAACTTCCAATTGGTACTCACAAAATTAATTGGTGCACATTCTGCCTAGACTTGCCCTCCTATTCAACTTCTGACCTACCCATGACCTTACGCCATTGTATGCTTTCCAAATTCCAACCTGATAATAAAATTTGCGACAATGCTACGTAACTCAAATTTTGTGGCTCAAAAGTGACTCAAATGGCCAAAACGACGTCGTTTTGAGTACAGAACAACATAAAAATAGCCAAAATGACGTCGTTTTGGCCATTTGAGTCACTTTTGAGCCACAAAATTTGAGTTACGAGACATTTTCCTAAAATTTGCGAGTTTGAGTCGGGTGATTTATGCGAGTGAAAAAACAAACCTACAATTCCCTGATACCATTGTCACGTTCGTTTCCCATCAACATTTCTTCGTACAATCTAGTCGCTTCTTTTAAAAAATGGCCACATGCACCAAAGGCATTGAAGTCCGCAGAACAACATCCCTCTTCCCTTTCCCTATCTAGTCTAAATCCCACCATACTAAAGACCTGCCTAGCCTTCTTCTTCTTATTCTTTCACGGTTGTACTTGTTATTATAATCACAGTGGTATTAAGGATATGGACTTGTGGCTGAACCTAGTTCGGCATTTATGGACGACGTGGTTACAGTCCGGCCACATGGTGGCCAACCCACAAATTTTTACTGTTTGCAAGGTTGACATAGTGGGTGGGTGGGAAAGATGCAAAATAAAAAACTCAAAAGTGATTAATAGTTCTAGAATACTAATGTCAGAGAACTAATTATAGAATAAATTACCAAAGCCATGCACAGCTGTCCCTTGTGGGTTTTGCTGCATCTCTTCCTTCCCCAGCAGTGTTTGTTTTTGAGAATATTTTATGCTTTTTTGAGTTTGTGAGAATTCTTTGGTCCTGCATAACAGTGGCCTAGTTAGTAACTAGTTGTTTTGTCTAGTAGTGTGGCCAACAACTTACACTTTGTTTGAATTGAGTTATTTGGCGAGGAAAAAAAAAAATCAATTTCTCTCTATCACAAAAACCAATTGTGTGCCTTTCATGGGGTACAAAAACCAACTCGTTGTTTTTTAACTCTTCAACCACTTGCCTGGTATGTGTTATTTGATAAACTAAACCCACAATTTATCATACAGGAATTTCATCGAACACTTATGTTGCATCATTGATAAGGAACAATTTTGCATACAAATCAGTTAGATCACTCCCCACAAAAAGAAAAAGCTAGATGACCAATCTGATTTGATAATATGAGAATGCAACAGCTTACCAAATTCAACCATAGAAACCCCCATTGATGTGTATGAAAACGAAGGTTTGGAGGTGAGAGAAAAACAGCCTTTTAGACGAAAATCTGAGATGGATGCATTAAAGGGTAATGGGTTTGTTGGATTAATGCAATTAAAGAAGTTGTTGGTCAGAGTTTGAGGGTGAGTTTTCTGAATATGAGTTTGGTGTGAATAAGGTGAAGAGATAGAAAGAGAGTAAACCCGTTCCTAGTTTGAGAACAGAGGTTTAAGAAAAAGAAGGAAGTGAGGATGCTGCTATGCGGCACAATGGGCCCATTTTGGGGTCCATTTTGATAATCTGAATTGTTCATATTTTAGAATACATCAATTAGAACATGCTTGCAAAAAACAAGATTATCGGATATCGTTTAGCTATTCATCCACTCATATTTGTATTCATTTTAATACTTTAAATCACAATTATTATATATTTTTGTTGATACAAATGTGTGTGGATGAATGAGTAAACGATATCCGATTAACTTAATTTTTTGCAGGCATATTTTACTTGATATATTCTAAAATGTGAACTGTTTGAATTATAAAAATTAGACCCATTTTGCCGCATAGCAGCCGCTGCTGTGCATCCACACATCCTAAGAAGAAATGAGACAGAGAATTGAAGTTTGGGTGTTTTGAGTAGGCTTTTGGCCAATGCAGCCGAAGGAGAAAAGTCCACCTACTCTGGTCCACAAATGTGAAGTGGGACAGTCAAATTGGACCCATGTGGCCCATTATTAGTGCCATTCGAATAATTCATTTTATAAATTCTTCGCAAGCATAGACTGTTACATTTGTGTTGTAAAAAAAATTCAAAATCATTTCTTCCATCTATTCAAAAACATATAGCAACTGGCATATATGGAAAACTGTATGAACATATTTCTTTTAAAATTTGTTTTGGGTGGAAAAAGTATTACATCAACGAACAGTTTGCATATTCTTTATTGTGTCTTGTACTGGTCTATGAGCTCAATCACCAAAGTCGCAATGTTTTATTGCAGCTACATATCAATTCTTCCACAATATTCTGCCCTACCAAAAAAAAAAAAAAAAGCTTTATTATAACTAAAAAGCAATCATATCATGGGTTTGTCAGAGAGCAATTCTTATTTCCAGTATAAATGAAAGACCAGAGCAAATTTCACATGGGACTGGAGAATCTGCTTTACAAAATTGTTTGCAATTATTTACATGTCTTTGTGGCCTTTCAACTTTCAACATCCATTTCAATGTGAGTGAGACAAATGAATGTGTCTATTCTGCTTCGCACAAATTTTCATACTACCAATCATCAATGATCAGACCTTCTTCAGCTTGGTTGGCATTTCTTCAAATTCTTTCTTTCTTTCTTTCCTTTTTTTTTATTTATTTATTTTTTTTATATTGGAACCAAAAAAGGATCAGCCGAAGATGGCCTTGGCTTGAAAGATGCTAGGCAGCCGGATACCCATGATTTTCTTTGGAGGGGCACGAAAGGATCTCAAAAATCTTCTTGGCAACGGAAAAATTTGACAAAAGAAAATGTTAATGACCTTTGTCGGTTAAACCGCTAATACATGAGAGAAAGCATACATAGAACAAATAAATGGTATAAAGGATATTCCCATGAAATTGTGGTCTATGTTGGGTGTACAGACATCATTTAGATGGTTTTGTTGGGAAAATCTTGCTGACATACATAGTTCATCAAAGAGATCATATGGCTCTGTCTACCAAATCATATAAAAGATTGGGGGGACATGAGTTTGAGTGCCTTTTTTTGTTGGGATACCTTCTAAAACTTACCCCACAACTCAATATGCAATGTCCATCGGTTATTAGGGGCATGTACGGGTTGGAGCAAAGCAGTTTAGGGGAAAAAAAAATTAACAACCAAACTGTGATTCACAAAAACCTGACTCATATAACTTAATCCAATCCCATTAAAATAAACAAGCTCATTCAACTTAATTCTACAAAAAAACAAAAGCTCATTCAACCTTCAACCCTGTTCTTCAAATAAATTTCCTTAATTCAAAAGACAAACAATCACCAAAGAGTAACAAGAAATTAAGTCCAACTTAATTAAAAAGAAATCAAACATACAAATAACCATCCAAATTAAGTCCAACATGAATAAAAATAAATTAACAGTACACACTCATCCAAATTAAGTCTAAGAGAATCCAGCCAATCATCTAAATTATACAATTAAACAGTCCAAGAAATCCACAGTAAATAGCAACAGCTGCTACATATGCAACATCCACTCATCCAAACTCCAAAGAACCACAATAGCTTCATCCAAACTCTAAGCTTCATCAATCTACAAATATAAGCAAGAAAAAATTATTCAATAACAAAAGAAAAAAAATAATTTGTGAACTGGTCTCTCTGTGATGGTTAGAAATTTTTCTTGCACCAAATTCACTGGAAAGCTAAAGCAAGCCAAAGGTGGGATCTTCTTGGGCTATAAAAATTGTGAACTGGTTTTGACAGAAATCTTTAGTCTTCAGCATCTGCAGTCATTGTAACAATAAGTAAAATATGACAGCAGGAAAGATGTGAACATTACTAGCAATTTAGTTGTTCAAACAGGAGCATACACAGTCAGTAATGCATGTGCAGTTGTGTAATCCCAAGGCCTGTTGCTAGGAATTATAACATATGCTTAATCCTTTTATTAAGATTCTAGCTCCTCAATTAATGGCCTTGGAAAAATCAGCAAAATATCAAAAGATGTTTAAGCTTCTCTGCATTGTGAAAATTTTCAAAATCAAGTTTCTGAGCAGGTTCTTATGCATTGAAGAGTAGCAGGTTTTGATGCATTGAAGAGCAATTCTTATTTCCAGTATAAATGGCCATTCCATTAGGAAGCAATTAGAAAAAATTATGCTGGGGTTGGATCGACAACAACTAAGCAATAGTTCAAATTGAACAATTTAAATAGGAACAATCAAGCAATTGCGGTTTTGGTTCGAAGGCCTCAAATGAATGATGACTTCTTTGGATCAATGGTAACAAAGTAAATAAGAAGAAAGAACACACTTTTTATATCAACTGATGGTAACCAAGCAGATTTGAATAAACAGAAGTAATTTCAGATTGAAATTACTGAAGTTCACTAAAAAAAGTACAATTTACAATCGAAGAAACTACTCCTAAATTACAATTGAAACTACTCTAAGTCTAAAACTAAGTTGTTGTATTGTTGTTGATGTCTCCTCTCTCTGCAAATTTCTGGCTTTTATACTTCTCCTTTCCCATGCCCTCATGATCTCCTCAATCTGCAACTTCTGTTGTGTAACTGCTATAACTACTTCTTGGCTTCTAGGCCTTCCAATCACATTAGACCTTCACTTCTATCTGTCGAACTGCCCCTTCTTCAAGTTATCACGTGCCTACAAACCCTTCTAACCTTCCTTTAATAGAGAAAGACTCCTACTTTGTTCATGCTTCCTCTTGAAGGATTGCCCACTAAGTCCATGATCACTGCCAGTAACTACTCCATCATCCAATGTTAACTCATAGGCACAAACCCTGATGACCTTGTTTTATGATGCCAACTATGCAACCTGGACTTAGCCACGTGTCCTCAATTGACTGGACCACCTGTCAATAGGAATTTTATGAAAATAGGTGCAAACGGAAGCCAAGGCATAGTCATTCCATTCCTGCCCATAATCATTCTAGCAACACTACCATAGATTAAGGGACTGAGTGATGTGTCAGAGTCTTCAAGGTGGCTTATATGCAGAGTTAACAATGAAGTCCCCAAAACCCCAATGAAGCCTATATTTGGAAAGCCACGTTGAGAAAGAGGAATGGACTTGATTAGATTACAACATCGACAAGAAAAACATATAATGAGAATTGGTGATGATGTGATCTTGGGTTGAATTAGAAGGAAGTATGATAGGTTGAGTGAAGCAATATACCAGCCTGATATCTGTTCTTTATGATGCCAACATCTCAATCCCAATTGACCAAGGCAACAAACCAGTAAGCCCTAACTTGAATTATTATTATTATTATTTTTCCTATTTCAATGGGTTAATTCAAATGTTCCAAAGGATTGACCATAACTGATGAACTAAATTATCATATATTCTCATAGATCAGTTTAGTAGATACCTAGGGAAGTATATAACTATATAATATGCAAAGACCAAACATTCAAATCATGTTTCTAGAGTCTTTATGAGAAAGCTAAGCTAAGTGAAATTTTGAGGATTTGGTGGAATGGCTAAAATAGCATGAACAAAACTTTTTTTTTATGGCCAATGACACTATGTCCTGCAAAACTACAATAGACATTGCATATCATATTGTCTTCTCACTTTAATCATCCAGTGATTAATAGGCTAAGAAAGCATAAATTCATTTTGCATATATTCAAATAGCAAATGAGGATTGGCCAACAGAATTAACTACAGTAGAATTCATGTAATTTTTGTTATAGATAAGAGATTTTTCTTGCTCTAAATTCACTAGAATAGGTGATTTAAAGTTCAACTGTGCACTGATTTTAACAGAAATCTCAACTCTTTTAGCCCCTACAGTCATTTGAAAAGTTGGAGTAAGATTAATTATTTGTGCCTAAAAAATTGCATTCCTTGGAGAATGACATGTTATTAGATTCATAAACAATACTACTACAAATTCTATCCCATATACAAACAACATAGGAGAATTTCACCACGTATTGTATGCAAACAAAAAACGAGTTACGTGAGTTGCGTACAATGATATTTCTCCAATGCAAACGAGGCTTGAGATTGCAAGAATGGAAATTCTCTAAATATCATAAGATTTGAGAGCGTGTCTTGACATACATGCATGCACGTGTTCTCTATTATTTGACATGAAATTTGACAGGTAGTCACACTTCTTTTGCAAAATTAAAATATATGTTCAACAAGTAAGATTTTTAACCAAAAAGTCAATATAAGTTGTCAAATCATTTTCTATACTTTTATGCATGTTTTTTGATAAAAAGCCAAAAATACTAGAAAAACCCTGTTCCCAAATGTTTGTTGGTCAGTTTGGTCTATTTCAGGAAGCGAAGGAAAGCATTGGACTGAGAAGTCGGAATTTTCGAACCTAGTATTACTAATAATCAGAAAAAATCGTTTTGACATGGTTTCAGATCATTGAAGTCACAAATATCACCATTTTTTTCTGTTTCATTCAGAAACTATCATTTTCGTCTATTCAGTTCCTAAAGTTTTGAATTTATGTTTGTGTAGTCCAATTGGAGATAATTATACAAACAAAAAACTATTAAAACTTAATTTGATTAAAAAAATTATTTGAGAATTTCAACATCTTAAACCATACAACAAAACACTAATTTTTCTTATTATTTTGAATAAATTACAAACTATAACCAACTTAATGGGTGTTTAATTGTATGATTTAAGTTGTTCGAATTATAAAATTACATTCTTTTTTTTTTCAACGGTTATTGGTTTTTACAATCGTCTCTGATTGGACCACATGAATAAAAATTAAAAATTGAATGGACTAAATAGACGAAATTGATAGCTTAGAGATGAAATAAAAAATAAAAAATAAAAAATGTTGATAGTTTAGAGATAAAAGTGAAATTAACTCTTAAAAAAAAGAAGGAAAGAAAAGGAAAGGAACTAGGGAAAATTAGTGAAATATCCCTCTTTAACTTCGTGTAGTAGGAGAGGTCCAAGATATATTTTTTTTACTAGCTAAGGTCTCTCGATGAAATTTCTCTGTGATTATACCAAAGAAATGTCTCTGTGAAAATTGAAATTTCTTTATGTCGAACACAAATTTTTCTGAAACGAATTTTCTCTGTAAAAATGTTGAGGGACTCCAACTACTATGAAAATATTGTATGTCCTTTATCTTATAAAATTTTAGGGGTATTTACACACAAGTCCTAATTTATAAACTTATACTCCATTAAATCTTAACTAAGATTTTTTGAACCTTCAAATCTCATTAAATTTTTAATAGTCGGAATTGTCCTTCAAATAATGATTGTTCATCATTTATAATTATCTATAAAGGAACATGATGATTTGACATTTATTTTGATTTTCAAAAATTTAAAATATCAACTTTTAAATTGAAAAAACTAAAAAACAATTATGTGCAATAAAAAAAAAATTAATGCTTTTTTTGAAAAAATTAAAAGAACTGAATTATTTTTTGTGCAAAATTGAAAATTTTGTGTCTATAAAAGAGCATGATGATGGAACCTAGATGTGCAAAACTGAAAAAAAAAAAAAAAAAAAACTTTAAAAATGAAAAAACTAATAATGTTCTCAGTTTTATTGGATAGTTGAATCAAATCAATAAGTAAAAGGGTAAAAAAGTTTAATCTCATGCTCTGTTTTTTTTTTTTCATCAGTTAGTGAAACAATTAAAACATTATTATGCAAAATTAATAATATTCTTAGTTTGAAAATTGGGAAAATTTGATAATATTATGAGTTTTACTAAATATGATTTATTGGTTCAAAAAAATCTTAGATAGGATCTAAGCTACCATACCATTTGTAAATAGGATTTTAAGGTAATTAACTCAAAATTTTAAAATTAGAAACCTTAAAAAAGATTCCCCAAGAAACTAAGCATGGGACCAACCAACCTGATGTAAATGTAGGAAGATCCGAGAAAGATCAATCGTCAATTCTTATTCTAATATGATGGAAGGCACGAGCTTAACTTTGTAGAAGTCCTCTCCTCCTTCTCGAACCCTGTCTTTGAGTGCTTCAGATGCGTATCTAACAACCAATTCTTGGAGGGTGGTAATGAACCTCAATCCATCCGGAATCTCCTTCAATTTTTTGCATCCTCTAATTTGTAAACGGAAGAGACAGGGCATGGCTCCTTGTTCCACCCTCCAATCCTCCAAGTTTTCAATATTCCAGAGGTCTAAAGATATGAGTTTTGGAAGACCTCCACCATCACAGCCGCCATAGCCCCCTCGTCCTCCACCACTGCTGCTGGATGGCGCCGTTGTTGTTAGTGGTGCAGAAGAACAAACCATCTCCTTTCCAATGTAGGCATCGTAATATAAGGAGAGACTCCTTAAGTTAGGCAACTTCTCTAATGTTGGCATTGGGTCTTCCTCTAGTTTAGTATTCGCCAACAATAAGTTGGTGAGATTTGGATGGAATTGGTCTAGCAATTTATTAACCACATTCAGGGATCCCCATAAATAAAATTTGCGAAGATTGTGGCATCCTAAAAGTTGCCTTAAAAGGCTTTGTTCTTCTTCTGTTCGGAAATCTCCTTTAATCTTGATGGATGAAGATGGTAGAAGAAGGCTGTTTGAATTATTGAGGAGGATTGGAGATTTAGGGATCGCCACCAAGTCTTCGGGGGATACCCAACCAATTTCAACTTTTCGAAGATTTGTCAATTTGGGAAAGTATCTGACATCACAAAACTCTGTATCAAAGGCTTCTAGTGTCTCCAATTTGTTCAAACCATCCAATCGTAACTTACTTGTACGAGTCAACTTGATTCCACCAGGAAGATATAGATGTCTCAATTGTTCCAACCTCCACAGGACATTGGGTATTTCTAGATATGAATATGTCCTTAGATCTAGGGTTTGGAGGAATCTCAAGTTGCCTATAGAAGAAGGCACACTTCGAATACAAGAATTGTTTATATTTAAATATCTTAAGTGAAACAGGTTTCCTATGTCTCTCGGCAACATCCCGTACTCTCCTTCGATTTTCATTCCTTCGACATCTAAAATTCTTAGCAACTTGAAGCACTTGAGAAGTGATTTTATCTGTTTCCAACCAAAAGTTTCCAAATCGTTTCCAAAGAAGTAAAAATGGCATGATCGCAAATGGTGATGATTAGTTAGTTCGCGGAGATTAATATATTCTTGCCTTACACTGTTCGCTTCATGATCACCCGAATAGTACACAGCAAGCCTACGAGTTGTAGTCAACGGTGACAACGAAGATGAAGAGGCAGAGTTTTCCCACTTGAGCTGGTGATTATCAAAGGCTTCAACGTGAACAACCTGGAGAAAATTCTCCTCTTGAGCTTTCAACAAGCATAAGTCCCGCATGAGATCGTGGAGGCGACAAAGTTTAATCCTTCTACTGAATCTTGTTAATTGGACTTGAACCATACATCTCTGTGCTAGCTCAATTAAATAACTCATTCCAACATCCAACATTGTCTCTTTTACCGATGATGACACAATGCCTTCAGCCATCCACATTTGAACTAATTTTTTTGCTGGTATATCATGATCTTCAGGAATATGGCTCAAATACAGAAAGCATGCCTTGAGATGGTACGGCAAGTCTTGGTAACTTAAAGCTAAAATGTCTGATACTGGAACTCCTCCATGGCTGCCTTGACCCTTCTTGTTTAAGTAATAACAGATGTTTCTACTCACCGTCTCCCACTCCTCCATCTGGTGTTTGTTTGCTAGAAGTCCTCCTAATACCACAATGGCCAACGGTAGACCCCCACATTGCTTCACCATTTCCTTCCCCAACTCCATCATTTTAGTGCTCAATTCAAATTCTGCAAAATTAAATGACAAAAACAAAATAAGTCATCTATCATTAAGATTGTAAATTTAAGGATTGGGAAGTACCCATGATTATCATATGTACAATGAGCCATGAGAATAAGATAATATAGGGCGGTACAATTTAGTCTTCAACCTAAAATTAGTCACTTCCAATTTTTTGCACTTTGTGTCATTGACTTATGTTTTTTCTTAAAATCGTGTGCATATTGTATGTACCTTATAACAACAATGTAAGAATTCATAATTTTCACCATAAAATGACATAATTTTTCTGAAGTGTGACCTTTTGCTGATCACAAAAAATTTAATTTTTTCTCACAATATGGTATAACTTTGCCATTAGTAACTTGAGGTGCACACTATAATTTGTAACTTTTTCACAAAGTGACATAGCATATCACAAATATTCATACTTTCACTACAAAAATCGTGTAACTTTTCTTACAATCAAAAAATAAAACTTTTGAGAATTGTGCCTAATGAAGTCCTAAATTCAATAAATTTCCTCATTTTCCTTCTTATAGTTTTAGTAGGCAATGAAATAAATACTTAAACATGATTTTATCTACCTTGAAATAATATGCTTTTACTTGAAAATAGTATTTAAAAGGGTAAAGTTGCAGTAAATTTTTTTTGGTTTGTTTTGAATAAGAGTTCTCATAGCTAAGTTAGAAAACAACTTTGTTGAACCAAATTAATTGAATTAATTGGATAAATTAATTGGATAAATTAATTGCATTAGTTTTTCCCACTTTACTCCTAACGCTTTGTTTGGTTAGAAAATTTGGAAAGAGATTTGGAAAAGAAAAATGAAAAGGTATGTGAAATATAAATAAAATATACCTATATTTCACATACTTTTTTTTTCTCTTTCTAAATCATTTCTCAAATCTCCCAACCAAATACAGCATTAGGAATAAAGTGGAAAAAACTTGAAACATGAAAGACCAAAATGGGAAAAAATAAATTTTGAAGTCCAAAGTGGAAAAGTGACCAAACATAAAAGGGCAAGGTGTAATTTACCCATAAATTTACACGGTATATTATACTTTGCCCTTGGTAAATTACACTTTGCCCTTTTTATGTTTGGTCATTTTTTTACCTTGATTTTATTTTATTTTTTTCTACTTTGGCCATTTTTTTTATATTCAAAATTTAATTTTACTCCTCTTTAAAGAAAATTTCTGAAATATTTAAATTTTGAATACTGCTTTTTGGTGCATAATATTTTTGTAAATATAAATAGACTTGTAAAAAATATATTAAAACGTGTAAAAGTGTATTAATTAAAATATATAAAAATATTTTAGTATGTTTAAAAATTGTAATGAGATTCTCATTTTTTAACACATTTTTTCTTTTTAAAAATTTGTTAAATTGTCATTAACATGACCCTAATTTTCAATACAAGAAAAAAAGGAAAAAAAAAATTGAATATAAAAGGAGACAAGGTAAAAAAGTGGAAAATTTGCCTATTAATCTCATATTGAGGAATGGTGATCTATTTAGTCCCAATGATTTTCTTATAGACCAATTAGTTACATTGATTGTGGAAAGGTAAATTTATATATTATTTAGAAATTAGATTTACGGTTATACCCTTATTTCTATTATGTTTCTTTTTTTTGCTTTTATTTTATTTTCTTTCTTTTATGCTAGAAAGGTAAGATATACATCTATAAGAATCAAATTTGAGATGAATTTTTATATGAAAATCTTTTTATTTGGAATGACTTAAAATGTGAGATTCTTCAAACATTTCAAAACTAAAATAAAAATGATTTGAAATATGAGATTTTTCAAATATTTCAAAAAGATATGAGATTTTTCAAACATTTCAAAAGGAGCACAAAACTTCGCAAATGTATAATTTTAAACTGTAACACTCCAATTAACACTCAAAAGTAACACTCCAAAAAAACTCACTCCAATATAACATACAAAAAAATTACTTAATGTACTTTGCTCAAACAACACTCTAATGTAACACTCCAAAAAATGATGTGCGATTCTTCAAATCATTCCAAAAGGATGTGAGATTCTTCAAATCATTTCAAAGGGAGTACAAAAATTCCTTAATAAACTTTGGGTAAATGTTTAATTTCAAACGTTGAGGGTTACGTTTGAGAAAAGTACACTAAGAAGTTCTTTTTAGTGTTTTTGTGTGTGTTACATTGGAATGTTACGTTTTGGATTACATTGATTGAAGTGTCACATTTAAAAAAAATACATTAAGAATTTTTTTTTATTTTTTATTTATTTATTTTTTACATTGGAGTGTTACATTTGTAAAAAATATACTAGGAGTTTTTTTTAGAGTATTACATTGTTACGTTTGAGAAAAGTATACTAAGGAATTTTTTAGTATGTTACATTAGAGTGTTACGCTATTGGAGTGATATATTTTTGTTCATATTTGTTCCAGAATGAGAGAAAATCCAAAACGTCTATGGTGCGGATTACCCAAATGTGTAATTTTATATTTCGAGAAATTTACTTTTATCTCTAAAAAATTAAACTCAAACATGTAAATGACTACCCTTATGTGTAATTTCTATTTTAATGAGACTTTTGGGTTTATTAGAAGAAAAAAAGAAAAGAAAGGAGAACTAAACTGTTCATAAGAGCACATTTTAGGATTTATTGGTGGTTCACCCATAAAAAAATGGCCAAAGTAAAAAAATAAATAAAATAAAAATGGTCAAAGTAAAAAAATTGCCAAACATAAAAGGGACAAAGTATAATTTACCATGTAGATTTATCATTGATGGGAAAAAAATTCTGAATATAAAAGGAGCCAAAGTAGAAAAAGGTCAAAGTAAAAAATTAAATATAAACTTTAGGGTCAAAGTGAAAAAATAGCCAAATATAAAATGAGCAAAATGTATAGATTTATCATTGATGTAAATCTCATTCGTTTTAAATTAATTTTCTTATACGTTGTATTGGTGTTGTTCTAATACTATTTGTACGGGGAGGAAATAATTCTCCTCGTATAATCCTGTTGACCAAGTCCACGCTCCTCCGTACGACGTCGCTTTGTCACCTGAAAACACAAACGTGAGCTAGCCGGCGGGTGTGTGCCGGAAACCTCTCCGATGCCTAAGTCAGAAAATTTGACAAATAGACAAAGCTCTAAGTTCTCAGAAAGATTGTCTTCAATTACCTCCTCCAAGGTGATGCTTGTGAGCTTTTATAAGTTTCATATGGCACAATCCTAGTAGGACTTGTATTTCTCCATGCAGAGTCCTCCTAGGATTCATTCTCCTAAGGATAATGCTTATCCTTTTACACCCTTCCCCACTGCTTAAACCAAGTGGGATGGTTTTCTTTATGGCCGAACTTCCATTTGACCGAAGTAAAATTGGCTATACCGAGCCACAGAGGGCCGAACTATCCTTAGCTCGGTCTTCCCCCCTAACTCCTTACTTCGGCTGTTCTGTTCACCCTTGACGTACTTAGATCAAACTTCCAAGTAACAAGTTCTGACCGTCCTAACCATTGTAAGTCACGACCGGACTAACTCTGAGACCGGCCTAACCGTAGGTTGCTTAAAGACCGGAGTAGTTTTACTCTTCCTTGGGCCGAAGTAGATATTTCTTCTTGAGTCGGAGTAATTTCACCTCATTGAGCCGAAGTAACTTTATCTTAACAAGGCCGGAATAACTTTGCCCTTCTGGGCCGGAGTAACTATTGCGGCCTTCTTACTTAGTCCTTCGCGTTTTGGGCCTCAATGCCCAACTCGCGGCTCAGCCCAATTTTTCCCAAAAATTACCCTCTCACTATTCAATTAAAAATATAAAATACATGTATGATTAAATATAAATTAAGAAATAAGAGCAACAAGAAGTTCAAAAGTTTGGAAATGTGCATGCACAAAACCCTCTTTTAACTATGTCATAAAAAAAAAAATAAAAACAAAACAAAACAACCGGTACCGTTTTCGTAGCACAACACCATTACTGTACCACAGGCATCCGTGTCTATTTTACCAGTACTCCCAAAAAAAATTGGCGTCTCATATGTCTATTTTTTGTAGTGATTGGTTATTTGGTTATAACTTGTTATGTTATTAATTAGTATTTAATTTGACTTATTGTTATGTTGCTTATGACAAAAACAATTTTAGGTTATGCGGCAAGGGATTTGGGTACTTCCTTATGAAGTGTCATTCCAAGCATTTTTTGATAATTCGAACCGTTCATATTATAGGGTTCGTCAAGTAGATCATCCATGGAAAAAAATCAAGTTGATTGGATATCTGCAGCCCTATAACAAAGCACATTTGTTTTTATAAAAAACTAACGGTTAAAATAACTTTCATAAATTTTTAAAAATAATTAAAACCTAATCATAGGGTTACGAATATTCGATTAACTTGATTTTTCATTTGAATAATATTCTTGACGAACTCTACAATATGAATGGTTCAGATTATCGAAAAATACTCGGGACGACCTCCCACAAAGGGGCACAGCAGGCTGCTGTGCTTTGAAGGCAACACACCACCCCTAGGTCCGGCCGCAAGTGATATATGATTATTACATGTTAATTATGACTTAGTTATGATTTATTATGCAATAATGTGCAATCATGATGATTATTTTATTTATAACCAATGGTTGAAATTCACAAAATTATCAAAATAACAAAATGCCATAACTTATATAGGAGACTTTTAAAATAGGTAGAACTCATAAAATTTTAATAAAATATTTAGGTGATATATAACACTCTCAATTTGAAAATTGAAAATTTGAGCATTACTTTTACTGTGCAAGAGCATCTCCAACCCACTAGGCATATGATGCTTGTTAGTCAAAATGCCTAATATGACTCACTTTTTTCAACTCCAATGCACTAGGCATATGCTTAGGCATTTTGGCTCAGCTCACACTCACTAGCTACATGTGGCTAGCCTTCAAGGCTAGGCAAAATGTATTTAATCATTAAGATTATTTCCCTCTATCTTTGTTGCTGACGTGGCATTCTATAAAGTTAATAGTATTTGGATGAATAGCTAAAATAAAGAGCATGGTTGGGGTAGAAACATGAAATTGTTGACAGGCAAAATAAAATGTATACTTTATAGTAATATTTAGATAGGTAAAATGCCTACTACCATTGGAGATGCTCTAAGGTAGATGATGTTACTAATTACCTGGAAATGCTTTCTCTTCAAACAGTTTCCAACTCTCATCTTCAGTTAAATGCCTCAGATTATGCTGTTGATCAGCGTACGAAGCCACTTCTTCTATGCGAGTAGTTAGCAGTATTTTGCTACCTGTATCTTTTTTATTCGGGAAGGCCGGACTCAAAATTTCCCAATCTTGAGCCTTCCAAATGTCATCGATAACCACCAAACATTTCTTTTGACTTTGGAATTGAAAAAGTTCTGCAACTAGCTCACCATGATTCATTATTTTGATTTTTTTCCTCTCATCGAGGGACGGAGAGGTAAGCCCGATTAGAATATCTTCTAAAACTTCTCTAGTATTGCATTGTTGAGATATAAAAGTCCAAGCAAAAGAATCAAAATGACGCCTGACATCACTTTGATTGTAAACTTTCTTAGCAAGGGTGGTCTTGCCAAGACCGCCCATCCCCCAAATGGAAACAACTCGACACTGTCTCTCTTCCTTCACCAGATGTTCCGCTATTGTTTTTAAGTCATCATCTAAGCCAACAATATCCTCCTCCACGATATGAGGATAAGACTGCCTTAACAGTCGTTGCTTCTCAGAACTTGAACTTTCTCCTTCACGTATTGCACTTACACCATAAGTCTCTAAACTTGTCCTGATGCTAGCGATCTTGGTTTTAATAGACTTGATCTCCACCCCGACCTTATGGATGGATGTACTATTCTTGAAGACACAAGAATACCTCATGAGGACATTGAGGATACATGTACCTGTTTCTCTTTTGAATGCAACTTTGATAATGAACTTGTCAATTACATCGTCAGCATCATAAGCAGCTTCTCTGATCTCGGCAACCCAGTTGTGGACTTTCTTGTCTCCTTCTTGCTTTGCAGCTGCATCTTTCAAAAAGCATTGCATTCGATTCAACTCCATTTGCATTTCCTCAACTTGAACGCTAACCCCACGCAAGAAATTCGCTTCTTGGATAAGCACCTCTCCCAGCCTTTTTACCACAAAGGATACGAAAGGCCCCGCTATAGTTTCTGCCATACTCGCCGAAGTCTTCTTCTTCTTTCACTAACTCAACAAGGAACAAAAAATAACGAAAGAAAGCAACAACAGAGCTTTGATAGTAGCTAGCTCCTCCATGCCTAACCAGAAAAGTAATTTTTATAGCAAAGAGGCCAGCTACCACACTAGTGGTATGAATAATGGCCTCAAAGCCTATCTATAGTCTGGGTTTTTGGCTACACCTAAGTTAGGAAATATAAAATAAAATTCCCTAATCCGAGTCTGACCCGGCCAGATTTGAACCTACAAATCTCTCCCAAGCTAGCCTTAAAATCTTACTAGTACAACCTCGAACTCGCCCAACATAATCATATATTAAATAATGATAAATATTATAAAACTAAAAAAAAAAAAAATTTGTTATTGAGTTAGTATAAAATATTAATATTTATACATCTTAAATATTAACTTAAATAAATATATTTTTCATTTTAAGTATATCCTTCTATTTAAAAAAATTAAATTTAGTAAATTATATATATACACATATTAATATGTATGTATGTACATAATATATATTAAGGAGACACTATGGTACACCCCATCAGAGGGTGTGTACTATATACACCTTATAATTAAGAAAAAATAATATAACTTCACACTTTTTGAGTTATAACTAAAAAAAGAGAAAAAAAATGTTATAACTAAATACAACATGAATATGTGGTATAACTAAAAATCTCATAAGTCAAAACTAAAATAATGTCATAACTAAAAAAGAAAATTGATTATAACTAAATAAAAAAAAAACCATAAATGCATATGATACGCCCTTTTCAAAGATGTATATATTAAAATGGCCCAATATAGTAATAATCAGGCTAGGACGTGCAGCAAGAAACATTTCCAAATCCAACCCATTTAAGAAACAACTTCAGAAAATAATTCTGATCCAATTTAATGAGTTTAAATATCAATAAGAAGTATTAAAATTGACAAACACATATGGGTCTACTTTATAATTCTATTTTGTTTGGCGATCAAAATCTTCAAAAAGATAAAAAAGATGTTGTGTGTATCCTTTCTTATTTATTATTTTCAGCCAGAGATTAATTTAAATTCCCTCTATTTAATTATTTGTTTTTGAACGTATGTAGATCTGTATTATAAATATTAATTAACTAAAGTAATAATTATTCAATGAAAAAATTAATTAAAAAGTGTAAGAGACACCGGATGAAGAATCATTTAATTTTTTTTTTTCAAGAATAATACATAAAACGGAATTGTCTCAACAAGGTTAACAAACCCAAAAAAAATGTTCAGTCTAAAACCACTGTCTTATTTACAACCATTTTTGTTGTTTTAGTTAATTAATTTAATTTAATTTTCTACAATGTCCAAATGCAACAATAAAATAAGAAGTCTATACTGTGCACATATTAAAAAGGCACCTAATGTACACCCCTTGTGTGGTTACCATATAATAAAAAATATTTGGTTGAACCGGTTATCTAACATATTACACAATTTAAAAATAATATCACCACAAATAAACATTACAAATGACAATGTCATAACATATACCATTAGATATTATGACAAAGAGCACTAGCAGCCATAACAACACCACAATCACTCATAACAAAGGCAGCTTTTACCATAAATTACCATAACTTTATAATCATAATATTTTTAAATTATGATTTATCATAATTTTTCATAAAAGAAATATAAAAGAAAAATCATAAAATTTATTAGGTGGTGAAAGGGTCAATTTTGTCCCCTCGCGTGAAGGCTTTTTCGTTCATTTTGAGAGCCATATTCTAATGTCAATATAAAAATAAAGAAAAGCAAAAGACAATCTTGGTTGGTTGCTAGTTGTTTACAGCACATACTATCATTACCAAAGAAACAATAATGAAGGACAACTTGGGCTGCAACTTGTTAATGGGAGTGTTTGTTTCAGTTTTTCAGAGTCAATTTATAACTTTTAGTTTTGAAAAAGTTATTTTGGACTATTTGGTTAAACTTATTTCAAACAGCTTCTTATTCTAACCGCTTATTTTAACTCAAAAAAGCTGATTCTGAGAAGTTGCTCACCCCTTGCTTCTGATGATCAGATTCTGCTGTGGACATGTTAATTTATGGTTATACTCTTAAATTTTTTTATTTTTTATTTTTTTAAAAATAAAAAAAGACTCAAATGGACTATAAATTATTATTATTATTTTTTATGAGAAATGTAGACAAACAAAAAATAAAAATTAATTGAAAAAGCTATTTCACAGCTTATTTAACAAACACTACTTAGCAATTTAAATCTATAACCCAACAGCTACACCAAACAGATTAATAACTTCTGATTAAAATCATAATCTATAATCTGTTAAGATATAATTTATAAGCTATTTTAACAGTTACACCAAATGGGGCCAATATATAACCTCTACTCCACTACACACTCCACTTCACCTACCTCTACTCCACTACACACTCCACTTCACCTACCTCTACTCCACTACACACTCCACTTCACCTACCTCTACTCCACTACACACTCCACTTCACCTACCTCTACTCCACTACACACTCCACTTCACCTACCTCTACTCCACTACACACTCCACTTCACCTACCTCTACTCCACTACACACTCCACTTCACCTACCTCTACTCCACTACACACTCCACTTCACCTACCTCTACTCCACTACACACTCCACTTCACCTACCTCTACTCCACTACACACTCCACTTCACCTACCTCTACTCCACTACACACTCCACTTCACCTACCTCTACTCCACTACACACTCCACTTCACCTACCTCTACTCCACTACACACTCCACTTCACCTACCTCTACTCCACTACACACTCCACTTCACCTACCTCTACTCCACTACACACTCCACTTCACCTACCTCTACTCCACTACACACTCCACTTCACCTACCTCTACTCCACTACACACTCCACTTCACCTACCTCTACTCCACTACACACTCCACTTCACCTACCTCTACTCCACTACACACTCCACTTCACCTACCTCTACTCCACTACACACTCCACTTCACCTACCTCTACTCCACTACACACTCCACTTCACCTACCTCTACTCCACTACACACTCCACTTCACCTACCTCTACTCCACTACACACTCCACTTCACCTACCTCTACTCCACTACACACTCCACTTCACCTACCTCTACTCCACTACACACTCCACTTCACCTACCTCTACTCCACTACACACTCCACTTCACCTACCTCTACTCCACTACACACTCCACTTCACCTACCTCTACTCCACTACACACTCCACTTCACCTACCTCTACTCCACTACACACTCCACTTCACCTACCTCTACTCCACTACACACTCCACTTCACCTACCTCTACTCCACTACACACTCCACTTCACCTACCTCTACTCCACTACACACTCCACTTCACCTACCTCTACTCCACTACACACTCCACTTCACCTACCTCTACTCCACTACACACTCCACTTCACCTACCTCTACTCCACTACACACTCCACTTCACCTACCTCTACTCCACTACACACTCCACTTCACCTACCTCTACTCCACTACACACTCCACTTCACCTACCTCTACTCCACTACACACTCCACTTCACCTACCTCTACTCCACTACACACTCCACTTCACCTACCTCTACTCCACTACACACTCCACTTCACCTACCTCTACTCCACTACACACTCCACTTCACCTACCTCTACTCCACTACACACTCCACTTCACCTACCTCTACTCCACTACACACTCCACTTCACCTACCTCTACTCCACTACACACTCCACTTCACCTACCTCTACTCCACTACACACTCCACTTCACCTACCTCTACTCCACTACACACTCCACTTCACCTACCTCTACTCCACTACACACTCCACTTCACCTACCTCTACTCCACTACACACTCCACTTCACCTACCTCTACTCCACTACACACTCCACTTCACCTACCTCTACTCCACTACACACTCCACTTCACCTACCTCTACTCCACTACACACTCCACTTCACCTACCTCTACTCCACTACACACTCCACTTCACCTACCTCTACTCCACTACACACTCCACTTCACCTACCTCTACTCCACTACACACTCCACTTCACCTACCTCTACTCCACTACACACTCCACTTCACCTACCTCTACTCCACTACACACTCCACTTCACCTACCTCTACTCCACTACACACTCCACTTCACCTACCTCTACTCCACTACACACTCCACTTCACCTACCTCTACTCCACTACACACTCCACTTCACCTACCTCTACTCCACTACACACTCCACTTCACCTACCTCTACTCCACTACACACTCCACTTCACCTACCTCTACTCCACTACACACTCCACTTCACCTACCTCTACTCCACTACACACTCCACTTCACCTACCTCTACTCCACTACACACTCCACTTCACCTACCTCTACTCCACTACACACTCCACTTCACCTACCTCTACTCCACTACACACTCCACTTCACCTACCTCTACTCCACTACACACTCCACTTCACCTACCTCTACTCCACTACACACTCCACTTCACCTACCTCTACTCCACTACACACTCCACTTCACCTACCTCTACTCCACTACACACTCCACTTCACCTACCTCTACTCCACTACACACTCCACTTCACCTACCTCTACTCCACTACACACTCCACTTCACCTACCTCTACTCCACTACACACTCCACTTCACCTACCTCTACTCCACTACACACTCCACTTCACCTACCTCTACTCCACTACACACTCCACTTCACCTACCTCTACTCCACTACACACTCCACTTCACCTACCTCTACTCCACTACACACTCCACTTCACCTAACCCACTATCACCTCCACTACACCTACTACCACATTTTCTTCTATATATAGATTGTATAGGAATTGTAATTAATGAATCTTGTAATCTATCAATCAAGACATCAATCAATAATACATAAATTCTTACATACCCTTACTTTGCTACGCGTCGAATTGTCATTGACTAGCACAAAATATGTAGCCAACACCTATACCATTAGATATTATGACAAAGGCCACTACCAGCCATAACAGCACCACAATCACTCATAAACAAAGGCAACTTTTGCCATAAATTACCATAATTTTATAATCATAATATTTTTAAATTATGATTTATCATAATTTTTCATAAAAGAAATATAAAAGAAAAATCATAAAATTTATTAGGTGGTGAAA